CAACGCTCGTCTCAACATCCTGACACTACTGGTCTGCACGATTTTGCTGCCAAACTAACTGGGTTAAATGGACTTGCCACAGCGCGCTTATGAGATATATATACATAGCTTTGCTTGAAAGTGTACATCGCATAAGCTGTCGATTACTATACATGAGTATCCGAGTAGATAGCTCCGGTTAAACCTGCCACACTTTTCTACTATTTGCCTGCTACCACTACTGATCTCCACCTCGATCGACACAAATTTTACGATCTTCAAGCAAATAGCTTATCTCAGTGGGTACGCAGCGCAGCTGGTTGCCTACTGCATGCAAATGGAATGTGGAAAGAGTTTTTTGCTTTTTGTTAGTGGAAAGTGTTAGCTGTTTGGATGTTGTATGGTGGCAAAAACAATTTTCCAGGTCAAATGTTCATTGTATGCCACATGCGTGCGGCCGCTTATAGTGGTAGATAATTTTATTGTTATTTTTTCCACTCGGTTGCTTTTGTACAGGTCAGTTGCATACTATTTAGCTGTGTATGCAGTTTTAAAAATTGTTGCTATTGCCTAGACGTTATGAAGTTGGATTATTATTTAAGAAAAAATATACATTTGCGATCTTATGCCATCTTATGTGATATAAACATTTAAAGAGCTGATTTAACTGAATTTTTTTCGAAAAAAAGAATTTATATGTATGGCATGCCATTTTTGATGGTATGAAATTTTTCTGAAATAATTTTTCTACGCAGTTTTTATTTTCCTTTTATTTACTAATTTTTGAGTAAAAAAAAAATAATTCCAAACAATATTATGCCATGTTATGAAGTGAGAAAATTATCTTAAACATAATCTTCAAAAAAATTTTGTTATTATGTTATGCCATCTTATGTGGTATAAATCGATCATACTTAATTTTTTTCCGAAAAATATTTTAATGCTATGTGATGCCATAAATGATGGTATGAAATTTTCACGAAATAATTTTTTTATTTATATTGATTTTATTCTTTTGATTTTTCTCGAACAAATATTATTGTTATGAAATTTTTTATGCCATATCGCCAAGCTCTCTATTAAGAACATTGAAATAAAACAATATTTTGATTTTATGCAATGCTGTTGTATAGTTAACATTTCTACTTCAATTTTTATATATAGCAATTGTTTCATGATATGTTAACTTACATGTTTAGCTGAATTATTTAAATTTTTCTTGAAAAATGTATTTTCATGCGTCGAATTTTGTGAAGTTAAAAAAATTCTTTCCTTGTTATTTCACATTAAAATTTAGCCCTTATTTTCTGAGATTTTAAAGACATTCATGTTGTGTTATTTCGAGCGCAAGTTATGTTATTTTTTTGTTATGGTTATGCCATGACAGTATACGCATATAGAATTTAATGATGTTAACATCCTATTATGGTTCATCATATAATACAATTAAGGCTGATTATAGTGCCACTCCCAAGACTCTCTAAATTTCTACTCAGAGAAGGCAATGATTAGTTAGAAATTTCATGCAAATTTTCATGCTCTACTCATATTATATTACTTCCCAAATCGCTACACTTATGTATATCCTGCCTCATTCCATAAGCCATAAGCACATCCTTCTTTATCATGAACTAATGAACTCAACACTTCAATCACTTCAACCTTTAACAATAGCAACATGTATGTATGTATGTATAGCTTAAACAGCACCACTACGTTTATGCCATTTTACACGTTCCGCTATTTGTTATTCAATAGGCGTGAGAAAGTGTGGGAAGCAGCTAACAACGAGTTGAGCGCTCGCTCGCTAAAGCAGTCGAGTGTAGTGACAACAAAACTCCTACGAGCAGCGGCGATCGAGTATTTAATTGCCGAGTAAACAAGGCAAGTTGTAGGCAAAGGAATTTCACAAACATGTTTTTAGAGCAATGAAAACGCACACAAAGTATTGGCAGTAAGAGTTTTATGAATTAGAGGAAATAGTTAAAGATGAGCAATTAATTAATACATATTAATATATGACGGCATAAAAGTGCAATGTTGACATTTCAGACAAATACTTCAACGCCAAATGTGGAGGACAACAGCTAACAGCAGACGACGGCTCCCACACACCCGCGCACGGTACCGTTAAGTCAACTGCTTTTTCTTTCTATTTTCTTAATTTTTTTATTATGTTTTTTACAACCGATTTGCAATGGATTATCGATGCTGGATAGGGAAAAAACAGTACAACACGTCCGCGTGCGCTGCAACGTAAACGCATTCCAATGCGCTAAATACAGCGAGTTGTTGTTATATGCAACTATATGAGGAGACGCACACGTAATGTGGAGCTGAGAAAAACTAAACGTTTGTTATAGATAAATAAATAAATAAGCGAGCGAGTGCATACAAGATTTCTGTTATTGGTTTGATTTTTTTTCTTTTTAACTTTTTAAGCCACATGCGAGCAAGCGATAACAATAACAACAATTGACTTCATGTTAAACTACAAATGTACACTTGATAGGTAGAAAATTTTTCCCCTGGGAAATATTGTGCAATGTAGCTAAGCATGCGTACAAACAATGCGGCGCATTAAGTGCGTTTGATTGGATTTTGAGTTAACTATAACTGAAAGAAATTTAGCAATATACAAAGGCTTTCTTGGCTATAATGGTTTGGTTACCGAAAATTCTAAAATTATTAATACGAAAGCTAGGAAATTCAATTACAGTAAAATAAACTAGAATAAAATGAAATCAAAATTAAATAAAAAATAAAACGAAATTAAATAAATATAAAGGAAATAATTAAAAAAATCCAATAAAATAAATTTCTAAAGCAATATAAATCATAAACCAAACAAGCATGCTAAAATAAATTAGCATAAAATAATCTAAAAACATTTTAAAAATAATGAAAAAATAAATAAAATTAAACAATTTAAAACAAAATAACATAAATAAAACAAAATTAAAAAAAGAAGTAAAACGAAATGAAGAAAGCATTAAAATAATATACCAAAAAATAAAAAAAAATTATTTATAAAATAAAATGCAATATAATAAAATACTATAACATAAAAAATTAAATTAAATAAAAAATAATGAATAATGAATAATGAATAATGATGAAATAAAATAAATAAAAATAAAATAATAAAATTAAAATAAAAATAAAACAAAATGAAATCAAATAAAATAAATTATAATAAAAATAAAAAATATAACAATAAAAATTTTATAATAAAAAACAAATAAAAAAAAATAGAACAAAGAAATAAAAAACAAACTGCCATAAATTACAATGAAATGAAATGTGAAATAAAAAAATCTTAAACTATAAAAAGGAAATGACATGAGATGACATAAAATAAACTAAAATGTGATGATATTTAATTAAATACAATATAAAATAAAATAAAACTAAATAAAGTAAAATAAAACAAAACAAAATAAAATAAAAAAAAACATAATAAAAAATAAAAAAAAAATAAAACAAAATAAAAAATAAAAAAAAAAATAAAAAAATAAAAAATAAAAAAAAAATAAATAAATAAATAAAAAAATAAAAAAAAAAATTTAAAAAAATAAAAAAATAAAAAATTTAAAAAATTTAATCAATTTAAAAAAATTTTAAAAATAACAAAATACGTAAAAAAATTAGAAAAAGAAAAATAAAAAAAGGTTTTATTTAATGCATATTATTTTTATTTGAATGTTAAAAAAAGTATAAAGAACGTTTCAATGCCTGTTCTCTAGCTTTTTGCTTCACTTCGCTTATTCCCTTTATAAAATACGACGAAAGAAAATCTTTTTATTCTTTCAAACAAAAGTTAATGCTCTTTTTTACGGTGCCTTAAAACTTACCACCTGTTGGGTTGTTTAATGAAATATCATCGCTTTTTTATTTCTCTTTCTTAGGCTTATTTCTCATTTAGGCCATTATTTACATTCGCTCACAAGTAATGCTGCTTCATATATAGTTTTTACTATTTTCTCTCCCATAGGCTTGAATTTAGAGTATGAACTCGACACGTAGAAAAGATATTAACAAAAAAAAAATTAAAAAATTTCGAATGAAAAAATATATGCATGCGTACGTATGTATACATTATGTACATATATATATCAAGATCTGTTGCAAAGTAAAATAAAATCAGTGACTATGAATTGTCGCCAAGCATTGAGTGGACAGCAAGTTGGTTGTTGGGCCCTCAGTGGCTTTTGGTAGGCATAGCGAAAGGTCGACGTTATTTCTTTTTATTATTTTCCTTTTACTTTTTGTCATTTTTAACTACTCTCTTTTATTTGGTTATTGCCGTTTTGGGCTAATGCACATTAAATTTATTTCTTTGATTTTTTCTTATATTTTTTGTTGCATTATTTAAACGAGTTTGTTTTACTTTTGGACAAAGAACCACAACAGTATTCTGTTGTAATTCGTGTGCATTCAAAGGTGTAAAGTTTATTTCCTACAACTGAATTTTTGTAATTTGGTTTTTCTTTCATTTTTTTATCATGCTTGGGTCTTGCTCTTCTCGGTCATTCTTCTTTTTAGTACTGAGTGTCAAAACAGGAAATGACAAAATAGCCAACTTACATCATTAATTATTTAGAGAAAGAATAAAGTTTAAGTAAATCAGCAGCTGCTTGTGAGAGGTTTATTTTTAAGTAAGACAATTTGTTATGGTAAAGAGAAAGGGTTATTGGTATAAAAGAAATCAAATTTTAAAGGAACCAAAAGCATGCTTTTTGTGGAAGGGAAGGACAAAGACTTTTTAAACAAATAAAGAAAGTAGCTTTGTAAAGAAAAATGAAATTTAGTTCTACTTTATGAGAAATAAAACTAAATTCTACTACAACGTAATTCTTTGAAATCATTTCTTTTGTAGATTTTGACTGTTGCACTTTTCTACCAATAGTTTCTAACATCTTTATTAGTTCTTGAACTAGTTAGAAATTTATTTGAAATACTTATAATTTTTTTGCGTGTGTCTAATTTACTAATTGGCTTTTCTCCTCTTCTCATTACAGTTGCAGTTCACGTTATGTCGGCGAATATTGCGAACATTTGAATCCCTGCTTTACCGGCCTGCTGCGTTGTCAAAATGGCGGTACCTGTCAACCATCGTGGCGTAATGATCGTCTCGGCATTTCGTGTATGTGTCCGCTTGGTTTTACCGAATCATTATGCGAGATACGTGTACCGAATGCATGTGATTCGTCGCCATGTCGAAATGGCGGTTCTTGTAATTTGAAAACATTGGAAGAATACACATGTTCTTGTATGAACGGTTATACCGGTGAGTCTTAATTGTATATTCATTTTTACTAAAATGAAAATAAAAGATAAAATAAAAATTATAAAGGAAATTTATTTTTGATTTAAAAATTATTTAAACGCTACTCATAAATTTTACCTTCATATTTGTAATTCCAGGAGACCACTGCGAAACTCAAAATCTCTGCGCAACAGCGCCGTGTCACAATGGCGGCACCTGTACCTCGGTAGCTGGCGGTAATAGTTTCAAGTGCATTTGTCCGAAGGGCTTTAAGGGCCAAACTTGCGCCGAAGACGTGATCGAGTGCGAGGCGAACCCTTGCAAACATGGCGGTACCTGCAAGAATACACATGGCTCTTATCAGTGAGTAGAAAAATAAACTGGGAAAAATGTTTATATAAAAATCTGTTGATTTTACTTAGGTTAATTTTATTTTATATAATCTTTTTTATTTTAGTTTCTTTAATATTGTTCATTTTTAATTTATATAAATAATTTTTTTTTTTTTTCATTTTTATTATATTATATTTCGGGAAATTATATTGTGTTTTGTGCATGATTTTACTTCCTTTTATCTTGTTATATATTCTTTACTTTATTTTATATGAATTTCTTTTTATTATTATTATTATTAATTTTGTTTTATCTTATTTTTTTTATTATTTTGTTTTGCTTTTTTTATTTTAGTATATATAATTATTATTTTTAAAATTTTTATTTTCTTCTATTCTACTGTTTCCTTATTTTAATGATTCGACTTTTGTTTATGATATTTCATTTTATTTTTTTTTTTAATTTGCTTCTTTTTTTTATTGTATTTTTCTTTTTTATTACATTCATATTTTTTTCTTTATTATTATTTTTTATTATTGCTTTCTTTACATCATGTATTTATTTTTTCTTTTTATCGCATTTAAATTTTTCTAGTTTACGAGAATTTATTTTAATTTTTATTTATATTTTTTATTATTTGATATATTTTTTAATTAAAAATTATTTTAAGTTTTTTATTTTTACTTAAGCATTTTTAATTTAATACAAATAATATATTTTTATTTTATTTTTTTTTAATTTTTACCTTTTGCCATTTTTGGATTATTCTAATTTTATTATTATATTTTATTATTTATATATAATTACTTTGTTAAAACAACTAAACATTTATTTTCAGTACAATTTTATTTAATATTTAATTTTTTTGTTTAGGATCATTTTAAAATTATTAGTTTTATTTTTTCATATATTTTATATTCTCTTTAAATCGAAAGAAAACTCTAAAAGATTTAGAAATTTCTATATAAAAATGTTTTAATTAAATTTAATTTACTAACCTGCACGAAAAAAGGCTCTAAAGCTGATGTCCCTCAGCTGTCCACTAGCAAATTACTTAAATTTTGTTTATTCATGTATGTATGTACGCGGTATGTGTGGGAATATTGATTGTGCGCGAATTTGTTTCATGCAAATTAAATGCTTGTTAAACAAAATGTTAAGCAACACTTTATTAAATTAAAAAAAAAAAAAAAATAGCAACATAAATAAAAATTAAAGAAATCGATAAAACGTCGCAAAGCGCCTCTGATATACTAAATTAATTGTTAGACCGAAAAAAAACCAACAAAAAAAATTGAACAAAAATCGGTAATTTATTAATGCGCTCAGGTATAAATAAAATAAAATTTTATGTGGAACAAATTTGCATTTGAAACAAAGGAAACAAATAACTCTAATAAATTTTCATTTAGCGCGCTGAGTAGCCAAAATAAAAAAACAAATCTCCGATTGGCCACCAAAGTGTTGATTTAACTAAAAAAATGTGTAAAACAAAGCGTTGAAGATTAGGAAAAAATAAATATTTATATGCATAAAATATGTGTATTACCAAATGTTTCGTATAAAGTAATGATTATTGAATAGATCGTGTGATCGGTTATACAATTGTATTGTTGTATTTAAGTCGACCCAACTATAGCTACCCAATCAACATTAAGTTTGAGGTCGAGTTTAAATGCAAACACTAAAATAAAGTTGAGAGTAATTTTCTGAAAATTCCGATATTTTTTTTTCAACACCGATTCAGCGAAAATGAATAACCTTCTTTATCGATTAATAAATTTTTGAGAAATAATTTATCAGAAATAAATTATTAAATGACGAGATAGATAGATTGAAAAATTATATTGAAAACCAGTCGCACAACCATCGGAACGTAACAATCTGAAATCAACAAATTTCTCAATGTTTTTTGAAGCACTGAAAAATGATATTAGAAGCCAATAGAAAAACGATTGTTGATATTAATTTGAGAGCAATAATTCGCTGAAAGGTTTTTGAAGATTTTGAAATTGAATTTCTTAACTAAAGACTTCTATTCTTTCATGAAAAGTTTAAGGTGATTTTAAATATCAAAAAAGAACTGCGAATTCTTAAGAATCTGCTAAAAACCGAAAACTCAATATTATTAAGTTTTAATGAAAAAATAAAATAAAATAAAAAATTGTAGAAAAAATATCTCCCAAACATAAAAGAAATTTGCATAATGTTTAGCTATGATGCAAAAAATCAAGGTTGGTTTCAAAAATATAATCCTCCATAACTTTCTCATAGAATTTTTACTTGACAATCTATTGAAAAACTTGTCGGTGCTTACTGGGTGAACCCTTCTTTTAGACTACGCTGCGCCCGCGCTATTTTTTTTTTTTCAAAAAAAATTTGTTTTTTTTTCATTTTTTCATCTCTTTCGTTTATTATGTTGTGACTAAAGCAAATGACATTTAAACCGCCAATTCCACTAAATCTCACTAACGAACTGTGCACCATAAATAATGCGATAGATCGACACAATTAAAATATAAAACCGATTAAGATAAATCAATGAGTTGCGTTTAAATATAAATCTACATATAGTATGAACATATGTATGCGAATACATGCCATATATTTGCAATACGAAATTGAATTAAATTGACAAAATGTGAATAAATTAAAAAAGTAAAAAAAAGAAATTCGAAAAATTAAAAAGAAAATAAAAAAATTCGATAAAAAATGGTTTTTTGTGTAATTTGCATATGAAAATGGTGGAGACATCGTGCTTGCTGATTGGTTGTATTTGTTTTAAAAAGAAAACGTCCGTTTATACTCGTATGCTTTAGCGACTCAGCCACATTTTTGTCGTACTCCATGCTGGCGAATCGCTGATGAAGGCTGCGTCCTATTGGGCACGAGTTTGAAATTGTCGCATATTACACACAAACAATGAACTATAGAAGTGCATATGTATCTATAGGGTTATCCATTCTGATATCTGTCAAACTTAACTGTCGAACCAAATAAGTTTTGTTTTTTGTTAAAAGTCGGACATTTATGAAAGTGGATCGCACAGCGCGGTAAAATTGTTAAAAACTACAATTAAAATGGAAATACAAACGTGGTAATGTCCCGTGCTTTAAGGGGAGATGGTGCAAATAATCGTCCAACTACTCAACCAATTGATAAATATTTTTAGAATTAAGAAAACAGTGGATCAGTTACGTAGCCTGTGAGGCCTGTGGAGTTCGTTCCATCTCAAAAACCACTGTAAGCGAATGTAAAAGTGTAGCCAAAGATCCGAACATGTCTATTTCTCGATGTTCTCTAGAGCTGGGACTTTTTTACGGCCCCTCAAAGCGTGTTTTGCAATTTTATTCACACCTACATTCATATATAGTCCTGCTCACGCCGTACATACATCGATTGGGTGCTGCAGCAACGAGCACTGGACTTCGATTTTTCGTTAAAAATTTTCTTAAGCGACGAGGCACATTTATCACTCGGAGGATACATTAATAAGCAAAATTTTCGCATTTTGGTCTACGAGAATCCTAAGCTAATTGAAGGAGAGACCATTGCAACCAAAAATAATCTTACTATCTGGAGCGCTCTTAAGTCTAGAGATGTGATTGCAGCTTATCTCTTTGAAAGCGACATTTCGGTGCATCATGATCGTAAGATAACCCACTTTTTTTAGCCTGAAATTGAAGAACAAGACTTTGACGATATGTGGTTACAACAAGATGGTGCCACTTGGCACACAACACAGGCAAATATGGTTTTATCGCGAAATAAACGTTCCCGATCGAGAATCTTCCGTCTTGGCGATGTCAATACCATACCAGTGTACTTTTTTTTGTGGGGGAACGCAAAAAGCCGGATATACCTTGAACTCTTATGGTCACTTGTGCCAAAAAGTAGTCGAAAATTACCTCAAACAGGTCAAATGTTGCAAATATTCGCGAATCATGTAGTGCTTCACATTAGCAAAGCTTGAAACCTTAAAAAAAATTTCATGAAAAAAGAGTGTTTTTAATGCATTTTATTTACATACAGTTTCAAAGCCACCAAAAGGTTAACCCTGTATCTACTCTTCGTATACCTGTAATATATTGCTGCTTGCTTTCTAGTGCCGCCACTAAATACATACACATATACACACACGCTTACCCACACATATCGGGTGCTGTTGACGGCGGGTGCCTCATGAGTTTCAAATTTCCGGTTTTCTGTTTGATATCGACTAATAGACAATCAAACAAATTAAATGTGATTTTTCTTTACTTTTGTGTGGTTTCATTAACATACTTAATTTTGTTTATTTATTTTTATTTTTGTTTTTATTTTCTTTTTTATCAACCTTTTATCTGTACCTAAATGGCAACAAAACTTTGAAGCCACAGAACACGCAACATTAGGTGGGCTAATGGTTGGTAGACAAATAATTAAAAAAAAAATTCAAATAAATTAAACTAGAACTAGTAGATAAATGGTAACAAATTGTAATGTCATTTAGTTGTTGTTCTTGCTATTTTATTTTAAAATTATTTTTTGCTTTCCTTGTGTTCTTAATTTTTGGTAGCATCTGAAGTGCGATAGAAACATGTGTTTTTCAGCATTTAGTGTTTATTTGTGGGCCACCAACAATTTTTTTGGTTTTTTTTCTTTTTTACTGTTTTAATATTGTTGTTGGAAATTTATTGCGAGGGTGTTGGTTGTTAGATTGAGATCAGTATATCAAGCGCAATGGAAAGCATTAAGTATCCAATACGTGTATTGAGCTGTCTATAACTATAAGATAGATAAGATCTCTTTATATTACAACACGATTCAAAATTGAGAGTGGTTTTCTCTAAATTTTTTTTGAAGTCTCTAAAAAGCTTTAGCGTAATTTTTCATACATGGATGTATACTTGAAGCAAAATAATTAAAGAAAAGTGAAAATAGTTTTTCGTTAACTTACCCTTGCTTTTAGATACGATTATGATTATGTAAAAATTTTTTAACGACGAACACAGGGCTCGCGACTTTCGTATATAACCGACCGAGCGGCA